ATCCCATGATTTAATCTATTCATTCTTTTGGTGCATTTTCAGTTCAATGAATTTCTCATTGTGGTCATTGAGGAGAACTCTATTGTAGTCATTGTAGGATTTACACTGTTTATCACCACATAATTAATCCTCTATTTTTCCCCTCCATAGTGTCAATTTTGCCTGAATCCCAATGGGATGTTAAACTATGGTGTTCAAGGAAATTGGTGCAAATCCAACTCATACTACATGATGCTATAATTTAATATCCAAAATATTGTTGAATTCTTCTGATATATATGTCTGTCATCAACTGCATGAAGGACCATCTGATCAAAGTGCCACACTCCTGTATATGCACATAAAAATATAGTGCACATAACAATGAGAATTAGGAAGACATGTGACTTAATTATAAGATATAAAAGAAATCGATTTTGTAGAAGCAATCAACTCAGTGAAATAGTCTGGCAATTTCTTAGTGGCTCCCACCTGAAAAACTGGGAAAAAATTTAAGTATTTATTGAGAAGACACTAGAACTCTTTGATCAAGTAATTCATTCATCCTGCCACTGTCCATACAGTTCACAGAGGCAATTGTGGCCCTCGATATAAAGTCCTAACCCAAATGCAAATAATCCAAGTTGTGACATAGCTCTGTATGGACGGCTAAAACAATACGTATGTGAATTATAAATCTTATGATTAATCACAGCAAAAACACATAGATGCTTGAATTGAAATTTAACCGCATTTTATTTCGAATTAATATATAAGCAGAAATAGGGAATATGTAAAAAAATTACATATAAACCATAATGTAGCATGATTACATATATTTTGTAGTGGCATAAGGATCAAATACGTAAAATGATTACATAATAACATAATTGATATATGATTCACGCTTCCGTTTTCTCACATGGCACAGGGGAGAGGTTGCTTACAAGTTCTTTTATTATGACATTTCCCTCCACAATGTCCACACGTGATCGGATTGATGGACTTGAGCTTTGTACCCTCCTAGAATTCTTTGATCGACCCTTTGGTCTCTTTGATTTAGGTGGAAGGATGTGAGTTTAACCTCCATTCTTAAGATGCGTATAGTGTTCGTGACCCCCTAATGGAACGATGCTACAGACGTAGATGTCCACATAGACGTCCTTCAGGTTGTAACGTGTGCATTCGTTGTAAGGCTGCTCTCCCTCCCCATCTATTACTGCTAAACCATAATAACATGGAACACGATCTATTTGAAAATGGTTACATATGCACGTCATACATCTCGACCACTTGTCGAAACCAATTGTAACATGGAACACCATCTATTTGAAAACACCATTAACGTGGTTAGTCATTTTATTTGATTACATCAAACATTCCTTTTTTTTTAATTCTATACATCACACATGCGAAATCAAATTGTTTTAATTGTATAACACATCCAGGGAGATAACACATAGTCGGAGATTTTGTCAATTTACATTATAAATTCATCATATGCAGAATCAAAATCATGTTGTGAGAAGACAAATGCCAAACCTTCTTTTTTTTAACGCATTATTAACACATTGCAGAAGCAGATACAGTCTAACAATACCACTTATGCAGATTTTCAAATCTTATCTTAGCCACAAATTATTGTAGAAGAGGCCATTATTAGTGACAATTTAGCTTCTTTATTACAAATCCATACAATCAAAACTATCTATATAACATTTCAAAACACAAAAATCATCTATTACACTCAAAACACATGGAAAAAGAGAATATATGTTCCCGGAAACGTGTCGAATTGCATTTCATAAAAAAATATTATTGATATTACATTGTGAATTATGTAATTAAGACAGACCTCAAAAGCCAAATTACCTTCTCCAAAATATGAAATTTTCTCCGACGACTACCACCGAAGAGGTATGTCTTGATCGTTACAATTGGAAGATGATGATTCGCCTTACATTGTCTGCCTCATGTGTGCATCTCTCTCACTTTAATATTAAATTTATATATGATCTGGAAGATTCATTAATTGAAAGCGTGATATTTGCTGAATTCAAAATTTATCATTTATAGAATATGGTTTGAGATAATTATAGAAGTTAGTATTCCTAAAGATAATTATCGTTATGATTAGTATTTGTAATTATATTTACCATCACATAGTTAAGTGTGAAATTTTATTTTATATTGAGGTATATATGATATTTTTCGAAAAAAAAATCACGTATAATCTAGTAAATAAAAACAAGTTCATTGTAAAACAGATCTTCATGAAATGATTTTTTGTGCTTTCAGCGTTTGGATTTCTGTGGTGCTTTTCAGTGTTTAAATTGATGAAATTAATATTTGTGCTATTACTTGTGCCAGTTCAACAGAGCGTTTCGCAGTTTTGTTGGCTTTTGTTAAAAAAATGTTATTGCTTTGGCATTTGGCAATGTTGACATTTGGATGCACACACTAATATGACAGCAAAAACAAGCCTGTATTGATCCAACGTTTGATATAAGAGCTGCTAATCAATGTCTTTATACCTAATTTTTTTGTTATTTGAGAAAGAATAGTTTAGTTGAAGCAGTTGTCTGTTTTTATTGATGCTGCTTTTTATCAAGTTTGTGTAGGTATAAACTCTGTCTGAGTCGTTTAATTGAATTCTCTATCCTTGTATGTGTAACCTGTTATGACCTTTAGGTTTTTGGAAAATCAGAGAAAAGGATAAACATGAGAAGATATGAAACTTTTAATGTCACGGAGCTTTTACCTTGAGTTTCCCATTCTCATCTATATGCCCTTTACCCTTGCGGATCGTAAGATTAAATGAGATTTCCACTTCATCTTGTGCGGTTATTTGAACCACACTCGTCAATACACGAGACAAATCTTCAACTTGAATTTTCAAGTATTTTTCTATTACAAACTGAAGATTTTTTGTAAATGCAAAGAGATTTAGAAGTGAAGAGAATGAGAAAAGAGGGTGTAATTTATATGATTTGTTAAATAGACAAATCACATTAGTGTGCAAGTTGTACAATTGATTTTTTTAGATAATGTAATACTGCTGGAAAAAGCCAAAGAAAGGAGATGCAAGAGTCTAAATGAAAATGAAAAGTTCATTAATGAAATTGTAATTATTTTCCCTTTTCTTTTTGTCAAATTTCAATTAAACCCAACAAAAATATTTACAAAAAAATTTAAAAATGCAGCATTGACCGCAAACCTAACTTCTGTTCTGTGTAATAAATTCATCTTCAATTTTAAAAATAGGCTATTCTCTATCATTTTGAACTTTACTTCAAGGACAAAAATCTCAATAATTTAAGTTAACAGCTTATTTTATTTAAATATTTCAAAGCCAACTCAAGGCCACAATCCTAATTCCTCCTAACCAAGGACCAAAAAATCTCAACAAAAGAAATGCATTCAAATTTCTGATTTATCAGTAACTTAGAAATTTTCATCCTATCGAGCACCAGCATTTCCATGAACATGAAGAAACAAACAAAAACACAAAAGTCACTTTGCGAATGAAGCTAAAAATGGTCTTGTTATTTCTCTTATAAATTGATGTAGCTACAGAATTTAATAACACATAAAAGCCATCGTGTTGATCAGTTTAAAAACTCATCAACGATCATTATCATTACAAACAGCCTATAGCGTCTAGATAATTTTCAAAGACAAATTCCTATGACTTGTGAAGTCTACTCAGAGAAATATAAAAGTTTGAA